GTAAAGGGCCCACTGTTGTGGAGCATCAATGGAGGGTTTTGTGGAAGGGCTCAAGCAATAGTTGTGAGAGAGAAGGAAATGTCTGAATTAGTCTGCTGGGGTCATCCCAGAAGAGATGGTGAACTGTTTTGTGTGCCTCAGGTTGCACAGTGGCTGAGAGAACTTGACCTCCCTGTCATCTCCACAGGTCCAAGAGAAAGGCACCTATGACCTCCTCGCCCCACTGGCTTTGCTCTTCTATTCCACTGTCCTTTGTGTAAGTCCGGGTGGGCCAGGAGCTGAGAGGAAGGAGAGGGAGAAGTAGCCTCCATCCAGGCCACAGGCCTCACAGCTCTAAGGATAAACAGAGAAACGTGGGAGCGATGACACTTGAGATGGGTTTCAACCTTCAGGTCCCTTCATGCCACCACCCTGGGAAGCCTCTAGTCACTATAGATGGTTGCGTGGTGCCTGGCGTCTCTGGGCTTCCATGGAGAACTGTGTCATAGGACGGTCATGGGAGATAACATTGGGAGATTTTTATGTCCATCTCCTCTTTCACCTTAGGGATCGGCTTTCCCTGTTGTGACCAGCTCTGCATTTCACCAGACTGGTGAACCAAATGACTGCTTGTACATTGAACTCAGTCCACCCAAAGAGTAAAAGTATTTGCCTCTCATGAGGGTATTTGCATATGTGTAGCATGTATGCTGAAGATGGTTCCTCAAAATGAGTAGAAACAGTGGCACTGTTTATAACAACCTCTGAGCTGACAGCTTTTCAGAGAGGCTTCCTCAAGTGTTGCATGAAAACAAAGCCCACTGCTGTAGAGACGCTCTGGGCACCATCTTGTCCATCTGTTGTTCAGTTCTCCCTGATCTTGTCCTGGGGCAAACTGCTCCCAGGAGATGTGTGTCCTCTGTGGGATATTCCAAAAAGGAGGCAGAAGCTGTTCTAAAATATAAGTGAACTCTTCTTCACCCTTCTTACTGACCCATTTCTATCCTAGACACCACACTTCCCACCGGATTCAGACCTCCTTCTGAAGGCAGCCAGCACCTACCACTGCTTCCTGACCTGGCCAGTTCCCTATTGCAGCATCTGCCAAGAGCTGCTCACCTTCATTGATGCTGAGCTCAAGGCCCCAGGTGAGGACCAAGGGGGCCAGGGATCATGTGACTAGGATAACTGTTTTTAAAGGAACAGTTCTGCCCATGTGGCCCACCTCATCCTTACCCACACCCTAAGGGGGTGGCAGTGCCTTCTTCGTGGTGTGCTTAACCATCGTCAGATGGTTAGGTTTGCACAAGTTAAAACTGTCTACGTGGGACATGATTTAAGAAGGAATTGTTCAGGGAGCCTCTCCAGGCCTGTGTAGGTCACTCAGAGAAGTCTCCAGAATAATCAACGAGAAGAGGTCTTTATTTGTTCTCTTTGCCCCAGGAGCAAATAGGCAGTTGCAAGATTGACTTTTCCAGGGACAGCGCCTGCTGCTGGGAAGGGAGGGGTTGATGGCTGACCTGACAAGTGGGAACAAGGACTTTGCGCTTCCAGGTTCTTTCATATTTAGGATTTGAAAAGTAAGAGTTCTTGAGAAATTGTGGATGCTGTTTTAAGACACATTTATTTATTTTGTGTAGGGTGGTGGTGCATGTGTGTGCCTTGGCGCACACATGAGGGTCACAGGACAGCTGGGAGTCAGTTCTCCACTACCACCATGTGTGTCCTGGGGATGGAATTCTGGTCATGAGGCTTGGTGGGCAAACACCCTTTCCTACTGAGCCACGTTGTCCACTGCAAATGCTGTTTAAGATGAGAAGAACCATAGGAAAGCCATGACAGAGAAAGAGGAAGAACAACTAAAGTCTGATTTGCTGGGAGACTGTCCCATACCAGAGTCATTCACCATGTTTCCACTCCAGGGAAGTCATCTCAATAGATGCCTCTAAAACATTTGCTTAGCTTCAACACTCTCTCTTGATATTCAAAAACTCCTCGATATATGGAAACTATCACCATAAAAGTATTTTCAATATGGCAACAGGCCAGGTGAACTGCTACAAGCATTTCCATTAAACATGAGCATCTACCTGGTTTCCCTTATATGTAGTTTGCCTATGCAAAAAAAAAGAAACCAAAAACAGGTCTTCATCCAGAAGAGGTAACATTTTAATTTTATAGCACCCAATTGCTTATCCAAGTTGGAGACAACCACCTGGATGAGTAGCCCACATCAAGAGAACAAGCTCCCCCATTTCCCAGCCCCACTCAGTAGTAGAACATCCCGGACTCAGGAGGCTATTCAGTTTTCTAAGATGGAGACTGGAGAGATGGCTCCACAATTAAGAGCAAGTAGCATTCTTGCATAGGCTCTGCTTTTAGTTCCCAGAACTCACATGGTGCCCCTCACAGCCACTTTAACTCACATTCCAGGGGATCTGTCGCCCTCTTCTGGCCACCCAGAGCACCTACACCCACATATGCACTTTTCCAAACACACTGTATGCACACAATAGAAAAGTAAAATAAAATCTTTTTTAAATGATACTTAAAAGCAGAAACTTATATCAAAAAGATGTTGATTAACTAGTTAACTGAAAAATCCACCCCAAATACATTGTACATTGCAGTCCCTTTTCCTTTCCATCGCAATGTTTACCCACTCCAGGTAGAGTTTAGTGACAGCAGCGTTTTACTGCAGTCATATACAGTAAACACGAGCTGACAGGAGTACTATAGTCTATTCCCCAGATCGGGGGTGCTGAAAAGTTCAGGTCTGATGTTTGTGAATTTCTTTGTAAGGACCCATGACTTACTTCTCCAAATCTCTCTGCTCCTTGACTTTTGCCGTCTGTTTCCCCACAACCAGTCAACACAAATAAACAGAGCAGGTGGTGTATGAAGCTAGTGAACTCCAAAGTCCTCTCCTCACAGTAGGGACTTGGGTGGAGAATTAAAAGATCTAAGTCCCCGAGAAGTTACTGCTCTTGCAAAGAGACTACAGGCTATCCTCAGTGTATGGTCTGCTGACCCAACTTAACACAGTATCCTAAATGTGAGCGATCAGTGCGAGGTCCATCTCTGTCATGGACCTGTCTTAGCTTCTGGCTGTTGACTGGGGTCCCTTTCTAGGAGGAAAAGGTTTTCTTTCCTTTTGCAATTTCAAGAGAAAGGATTTAAGCTTCAAATGCCTTTCCAGTGCCTTTGTGCACACCAGAGAACTGAATGACTCCTTTATTTGAAGTGGTCCAGGGAGATGCTGCACTTCTGGGAAGACTGCTTCCCACTTTCGAGCAGAACCATCTGGTGAACCGTAGTAGGATGCTCGCTATGCCTTGAGATGCTTCTGTGGGTTGTTGGTCAGGAGCACTGTTCTCATCTGCCCAGCAAACAGATGTGGAGAGGCAGGTGGAGGTGAGCCATGACCCTGGAAAAAAAGGATGCTAAGCTTGGGAGCCAGGCAGAGAAGCCATTGGTGGTGGAAATAGAGGATGGGCCTTTGCCTCAAAGCAGGGAGGACCCCAAAGTGGTCACTCATTGCTCAGAGTCCTTGGTATTTCCCCAGAGTGAGAGGTCTCAGACATACACATTAAGGACCTAGAAGAAGTCAGATGCCAGGAGCAGGAAGCTCGCACAGAGCTGCCCATTCCTCTGTGAGGGCAAACGGAAGTGAAATAGGAAACTATGACCTCTCCTGGTGCTAGAGAATCGTTTCTAAACAGCTCAAAAGTTACATACTGAACCTGTATCAAAACGAGAGTACATTTGCTGCTAAGCCAATAGCAAGGTAGTAGAACTGGCTTCAAGAAAGGCAGGGGAGTATCTCAGCATGGTGGTGCATGCCATTGATCCCAGCACTCAGGACACAGAGGCAGGTGGATCACTGTGAATTTGAGGCCAGCCTGGTCTACAGAGTGAGTTTCAGGACAGCCTAGAGCTACACAGAGAAACCCTGTCTTGAAAAACAAAAACAAACAAAATCACCACCAACAGCAACAAAACACACTTGTGAGTTTTCTCTCTGTCTGCAAGATAACCTCTATGTTCACAGAAGCCGAGCCCTAGTTCCCAGCAAGTAGTGGGTTAAATAAAGTTACCTTCTTCTGTGTGACTTGGAGGTAGGCTTATTAGGAAATGTCTTAGTGTGATTTTTGATGCTACTTATTTTTGCACGGCCTCCTTCCATCTTCAGTGAGCCCGGCCAAGGGAAGCAGTATGAAAAGGCTGGGATAGATCCTGAGTAGCTTGAGCTCCTGAAGGAGAGGCCAGTATCCCTGTGGTTCCTTGGACTTGGTACCAGACCTCTGTGATTCCTGGCTCAGAGTCTGCTTCTCTCTAGCTGCTAGACCCTTTGGCAAGATGTGGAGCTTACATCTTGCCTCAGTTTCCCCATCTGAACAATAGGTGCACAGTGCTGCCTGTCTCCCGGGGCAGTCTGTGAAGTGCTGCTCCATTCATCTTGCAGAGGGCAGTAAGCATCTGGATGCTGATTACTTCAGAGACAGGTCCTGCCAAGAGCATAAAGAGGGATGGTGACGAACCTAGGGAGCTGGGCCCTTCCCCAGCTGAGTCTCGGTTGCTATGGAGACAGCAGCTCATAGTCTCCATATGTATGGAGGAAGTGGGTGGTTATCAAAGTAGGGCCTCCCCTTTTTACTGGCTCCACCCCCAATGGTGTCAACCACTGCAGCAAGCACAGTCCTTTGGGCTTCAGCCTATGTGTATATTGAGCATTGCCTGCTTGCTAACACAGTGATGCAGAATATCATACTTGCCTGCCAAGGACTGATCTGGAACCCTAGCTGGTGACATCAGCACTTTCCATGTGAGGCATTCAGCAGTTTTCAAAGCATACACACCTCATGACTTATGCCTCACCTAGCCATATACAGTCCTATTGGGTGAGGAAGTGACAGAGCATTCCCAACATATACGTAAGTTAGAAAATTCACTTTCCCCGTCCAAGCTATACAGTTGAGTATGAGAGAAGGAACATGTTCTCAGTGTGACAGGGACCTCTGTATTGGCGCATACTAGCTAATGACCCTGGACAGGCTGCTTAATCTCTGAGTCTCCCCACCAAAGCAGGACTTCTGCTGTTGATAATGGCAGAGGTGTCACTACTGTGTGCTCACAGTGTGTTCAACATGGTGAGTGCAGTCCCATGCATCCTCAGAGCAGCCCTTGGTGTGGTAACTGTTTGTTACTGCATTGTTTACAATTACATCGTCATTGTTTGGATGATGGATGACACAGGAGCTAGGCCCAGCAGCTTGTCCACTCTCACACATTAACAAGTGCTCCACCTGGAAACCTACATCTGCTTGATTCCAAAAGTCATGGTGAAGTCCTCTCCCATTTTCTGAACACCAAGACAGGTGCCCCGATCCCTGCAAGACCCAGCTGCTCCTGTCTTTGTGTAAGCACGGTGCTCCTTTGGGAGATTTCCTATATAGGACAAAGTCCCATGCCCTGTGTTGGTCTACTCTAGTGTGTTCCCAGCTCAGGCCCTAGCCCCATCAGTGCATCCCATAAACCCCTCACCTCATGGTAAATCGTAGAGGCCATCACCAAGAGAGGCCAGAGGGCACTGAGATGCGTCTTCCGGTTGGGATTTGGGAGTTTTATCAAATGGTTGTGTTTCTGCTTGGAACTGTGGGTATCTTGACTATTCATACAGGTTATCAGCTCAGAACACAGCTTTCTCTGGGTCAGGAGGTACCAGTGTCTTCTGGTGCTGCAGAGTGAAGCAGGGAAGTACGTAGGAAGCCGCCCCCCCTTCCCTAGCTGCACCCCAGCCCCGAGATGAGGTAATGGAAATATCCATAACATGGGCATAGAGAAGAGGCATGATAGAGGGTGGTCCTCATCATGGATGTCACAGGACAAGTGACTACAGGGCCAGCAGTTGCCAACAATGCCCAATAGTCCAAAGGCACATATACTAGGAAAATGGAGAGAGGCTGGGCAGTTGGGCTTGGGGCCAGGGCAAACACTTGGTGTGGCATGCAATGGGCTAGGAAGTCCACAGCCTGGCATTTTGGGGACCTTATATTCAGGGACAGGGACTTTATGGCTTGGAGTGTGACTGGCTGTCCATCTAGGTCAACAAAGGCAGAGCCAGGAGTGAAGATGAGGAGCCGCTAGGGAGTGGACTACTCATTTGAAAAGCACTGAAAGGACTGTTCCATGTGTAAAACACTTGACATACAAGCATGAATACCTGAGTTCTGCCTCCAAGCACATTGTGACCTCTGGGCGGAACTGACAGCCTACCTGTAACCCCAGTGCGTGGGAGGGAATCCCCAAGACAAGCTGGCTGGCTAGATAGCAGAACCAGCAAGCTCTGGGTTCAAGTGAGAGACCCTGCCTCTGTTTATAAGGTCGAGAGCAATTGAGAAAGATACCCTATGCCAACCTCTGGCCCCCACAAGTGCACACACACACTGCATGCACATTCATATGTACTTATGGGGCCCATAAACATGCAGGCATGCATACACACACACACAGGGAAATAGTGGCAACAGAAGACTTGCTCGTTTGCTTGTCTGTGTGTACAGCAGTCAAGAATAACATTGGGTCTATGCTGTGTGTCACACTGGCAGAAGGTGTGGCCGAGTTGAATTTATCTTTGCAATGTATATGAATGGCCACTAGATGGCAGCCCAAATCCTTAGACTCTTAAGGATTGACTAGAAGCCAGTTTTAAGGATGCAAAGTAGACCTAATTTTGGCATCTGTGACAATTACAGAAACTAAACATCACACAAAAGGCCAACAGTTAAAGCAATTAGGTCCTAAGTTAAAAGATCACGGATTGGTAATTTCCTGTCATTTACTAAACAAAATCCATGGCCTTTGTGTTTGTTTATAGCTCTCTTGGCTTTCCTGCATCCAAGGGGAATTCCCTTCCACTCCTCAGCTCAGTCCCAGCTAGGAGTGCCCTGGGCCCAACAGGGACTTCCTTGTGACTATTCCTGGATATTGTTTCCTTTGTGGGTGTTTGAAGTCACAGGGGAGGAAAGGAGGCAGGCTATGATGGGGATTGAGTTTCAGAAAAAGCAGGCACTGATCAAAACCTAGGTCCTCAAGGTGGTATGGGAAGCCAGGCAGAGAAGAGGAGGGCGGAAGGGTGCTGCCTGGCTAATCTGAGGTTGAGTGTGGAAGCTAATGGGTACCTGGTACACACATCCTCCCGGCTTCAGGAAGACACCAGGCGTGAGTGACACTGTGCATGAGTCTAGGAACTACTTGGCAGCCTCCTTGGCCTGAGTTCTCCTTCCTGTGAAATTCTGCCTTCCAGGAAGGCCAAGCTGGTGCATCTCAAGTGGGCCTGGGACTCAGCTATGAGCAGCTACAGAGGTGTCCCCCTAGCTGTCTCTTCAGGGGGAACTGAGGACCACGCTCCAATGACTGTCTGCCCAAGGCCAGTGGCTCCTGCTGTCTGTTCCCAATCTGGGGCTGGGGCCCAGACAAAGTGGTCAAGAAGGGACAGAGAGGCAGCCAGAGAGACTGGCTTCAGTGTGGAGGCTGAGGTCACAGGGTATGTTACATCTGGAGTCACTAGTCCACAGAAGCAAAGCACTTGCCCAAGGGCCAAACAGCAGCTGTCTTCTAACAGCCTCCTCGGCCACTCCCAGCCCAACTGTCCAGAACCGGGCTTGCAGGGAGGCCCAGGACAACTGCCTGGGACTTGAGCCACCTACCTACCCTCTCCTCTGTGTTGTTTGTTGGTTCACAGGGATCTCCTACCAACGGCTGGTGAGGGCTGAACAGGGCCTGCCCACCAGGAGGCACCGAAGTTCCACTGTGTGAGTGTTCTCGGGGGAGGGGGAACCAGGGCATGGGCCTTTCACCCTTGGCCATCCCCCTGCATCCAGGACTCACCCATTACTGCACATTCTAGCCACCAACCAACAAGGGACCCCGGCAACTGTTGTGTCTGTGGTGTTGTTCTGTACCTCAATTCCTTTATCTGAGCTTAGGGTCTTCCTTCAGATTGATTTTTAAAAAATATTTATGAGTGTTTTGTCTGCATGTGTATATGTGCCCATAGAGGCCAGAAAAAGGCATCAGATCTCCTGGGACTGGAGTTATGCATAGTTGTGCATGACTGGGTGGGTGAGAATCGAACCTGGGTCCTCTGTAAGAGCAGCCAGCGGTCTTAATGACTGAACCATCTCTCCAGTCTTCTTCCTTCAGATTCTTAAAGGGAGCTAGCACACATCACTTTCTTCATCTCTTGCTTTCAGGTGAAGAGACTGGAGGCCAGAGAGGCCAAGTAATTTCCCTAAATCACACAGTTAGTGAGTATCTGAGTCAGGGTTTGACTTGGCCATACTCAAGGACCTTCCCCACAGTATCTTTCTCCTGTCACTAAAACAGTGCTCTCCACATTCTTCTTGATCTGCATTTATACTAAAAAGTACACTTTTACACCAGGCATGGTGTCACACACACCTGCAATTCCCACATGTAAGACGGAAGATTGCAAGTTAAAGGCCAGCCTGTACTACATAGTGAGACCCTATTTTAAAATAAAAAAAAAAAATTGTTTGACAGCCTAGCACAGGGATGGGGACAGAGTTTCATGAAGCTTAACCCTATCACACATAATGGGTTCTGTGCTGTCCGTACTTACTTACTTATTTAATTATTACCCCAAAGTTATTATGTAACAGACTCCAGCTTTGTACTCTTGGTCCCCTGCCTTCACATTTCAAGTACAGACATGAATCAGCCCCTGTGACCAGCTTTGTTCTGTTCCATTTAAATAACAAGATCTGATTGGAACCACACAGGCTGATGCTGTCTTCACCTCTGAGTCCTAGACTGCAGTGTGTGTGTGTGTGTGTGTGTGTGTGTGTGTGTGTGTGTTTTTCAGTATAGATATCTTTCATGTCCTTGCTTATACTCGTGTGTGTGTGTGTCTGTGTGTGTGTGTGTGTGTGTCTGTCTTTCTGTCTCTGTGTGTGTATGTGTTTCTCTCTCTCTCTCTCTCTCTCTCTCTCTCTCTCTCTCTCTCTCTCTCTCTGTGTGTGTGTGTGTGTGTGTGTTTGTGTGTGTGTGT